AGCGTTCGAGTTCCATGGAATCCTATAGAAGGGAGATATGGTTCGGAATGCGAAGAGCACTGCGCCTGTAGCGGTGTCCGGATCCTTTCTGCGGACCTTGAAAATTCAGGTGAGGGATGTACGAGGAGATGTCGCGCCGGTTCGTACCCATATCCGCAGCAGGTCTCCAAGGTGAAGAGCCTCTAGTCGATAGAATAATGTAGATAAGGGAAGTCGGCAAATTAGATCCGTAACTTCGGGATAAGGATTGGCTCTGAGGACCGGGGTGGTCGGGCTGGGACATGAAGCAGGAGTTCTAGAGCTAGCTCGATTTTGACGCACGTCCTATTCGGGTACGAGTGTCTAGTATCGAGACATGTATCTGGGTCTCTTATCGATTATCCTTGCTTTGAAAACCGACTCGGTTGCGCCACAAGCGCGACCGATGAGGTTCTCTTCGATCACCGTTTACCGGTCAGCTCAGAACTGGCACGGACAAGGGGAATCCGACTGTCTAATTAAAACAAAGCATTGCGATGGTCCTCGCGGATGTTGACGCAATGTGATTTCTGCCCAGTGCTTTGAATGTCAACGTGAAGAAATTCAAGCAAGCGCGGGTAAACGGCAAGAGTAACTATGACTCTTCAAAGGTAGCCAAATGCCTCGTCATCTAATTAGTGACGCGCATGAATGGATTAACGAGATTCCCACTGTCCCTATCTACTATCTAGCGAAACCACAGCCAAGGGAACGGGCTTGGGAGAATCAGCGGGGAAAGAAGACCCTGTTGAGCTTGACTCTAGTCTGGTACTGTACAGAGACACGAGAGGTGTAGCAAAGTGGGAGGTCGTTGAGGCGACCATCGCTGGAAAACCACTACTCTTATTGTTTCTGTTCTAACTCGGTTAAGCGGAGGCAGTACGTTGTCGGTTATAGCGGCAAACGTACTGGCTTTTGTGATCTAAGCGCGAAAACGTTGAACCCGGTGACGTCACTGTCACTAGTGTTTAACCTCCGCGTGATCCGGTTCGAGGACACTGCCAGGCGGGGAGTTTGACTGGGGCGGTACACCTGTCAAATAATAACGCAGGTGTCCTAAGGCCAGCTCAGCGAGGACAGAAACCTCGCGTAGAGCAGAAGGGCAAAAGCTGGCTTGATCCTGATGTTCAGTACGCATGGGGACTGCGAAAGCACGGCCTATCGATTTTCTTGTGTAAAGAGTTTTTAGCAAGAAGTGTCAGAAAAGTTACCACAGGGATAACTGGTTTGTGGCAGCCTAGCATCCGCAGCGACGTTGCATTTTGATCCCTCGATGTCGGCTCTTCCTATCATTGTGAAGCAAAAATTACAAAGCGTTGGATTGTTCACCCACTAACAGGGAACGTGAGCTGGGTTTAGACCGTCGTGAGACAGGTCAGTTTTACCCTACTGATGGCAAGTCGTTGCGATAGTAATACCGTTTAATCCCAGAATAACAACGGTGTCGGATATTTGGTTCATGCACTCGGTCGAACGGCCGGTGGTGCGAAGCTATCATCCGCCGGGAGTAACTCTGATCGCCATTAAGGGTGAAACCCGTCTAGTCAAATCCGGCAAGGATATCACGGAGCCCCGTGAGTCGGGAGGCTCCAAACAATGTGACTATTTTAGTCGCGCTTCTACACTTGAGGTGCGGCGTCGAAGCCCATTTGGGTCGCGGAGATCGATGTTGTTCGGATAACTCGTGCATCATGGCTCCGAAGGCCCGAATGTAACTCAGTTCGATGTCGGGGCTCGGAATAGTCTGTAGACGACTTCCGTTCCTGGCGGGGTGTTGTACTCGGCAGAGTAGCACTGCTACAATCCGTTGAGACTCGGCCCTTAGCTAGGTGATTCGTTTTGTAACAATTTAATACACGAACAGAATTATTTATTTTGATCTTATTGGTTTTTAATTTGATTTTGCTATTATGTGAGACATTGGGTTCCTCAAATTTGTCAGTTGCTTACTGATAGTACTTCTACAATCTGACAAGACTCGGCCTTTAGCTAGGTGATGTAAATATTTAATACACGAACAGCTTACTCTGGGATCCAATTTTAAACATTTAATACACGAACAGATTCATACTTCATAAAACTCTTGCGCTTAAATTAGTCGGGCAAATAACTGTCTAACTTGACTTTTTTTGTATATTATTTTTGTAGATATTTTAACTACCTCTAGATATTTAGGTATACCTAAATCTTGCGACAAGCTTTTATATAATCATTTTGAATTGGGTAATTTTGATTGTCACCGTTAGGGATGTTTTATAGTCATGTAAACTAAACGTGTATTCAAAATTACAGCTCTATCTGTTTGTATTCTTTAAAATTTAGTTGCAGTATTCCACTAAACAAACATACATTCATGCATACGTACGCCGTGAAATCTATTTCGTTTTCACGTATACAAAAAAGTAAAAAAAAAGAAAAAGTAACTGGTAAACAATGGTTCACGAATTATTTTTGTTCTTTTTTGCTCTGATCAAAAGCAAACTTCGAAAGAGCATATGAACTCATAGTACATTATTAGAACATCACGCCATATAATTCTAGGATAGGTACAACGGGTGACACGTGTGATGCAAATAGTGCCTACAAAACGTCTAGTGTTTCATGTGCATTTATCTATGATTTTTTATTTTAATCTAAAGAAACTGACGTCTTTATTATTTTTGTATTTACTTTTTACATCAATAGTTTATCCTTATGGCAATCTCTGAGTTTCAAAGATTTGACAACGCGTTTGACAATTTGACAGATGCATTTTTGACACTTACCTTATTAATAACCAGAGAAAAGTGAGCGGTTACAGTTATAGTTAAAGTTATGACGTCATTTACAATTTGTCTATTGGTGCAACGTCCTTTTGACCTAACCGATACTTTAACAGAAATTTGGACGTTTGTTATTGTTAAAGTAAGTTGGTACAACCCAGCCTTATTTAATTGTGTTATTAGAAAAAGCTCTATAGACGATGTATAGTATGTTTTGTTGGTGACTGATTGTTATGTAAAAGTGTTTGACAACACATTTCAGTTCCAAGTATAAGTTCATATAGCAAATACGACCTCCTAACAATTGATGTAGAGAACTTCATGACTTTATATAGCTGTTGTAGTCAGGCGTTATATTATTATTACCTGTATAATATTAGTAAAATACGACAGTCAGATAGAATTATGAGATTGAGGATGGATGGTTATTTTTAATTACAATATTAGATATTTATATGACTCTGCGTTTTTTTTTATATTGAGATTTAATCACACTGCTTATTCTTAGGACGAATAAGTAGAAGTGTTCGGTTCGGTTTTAGATTTCGGTTGCAGTTAATATTGAAAAACCTCATGTAATTATGGATTATTTGAACTTGTAGCGAGTTAGGAGAGCTCATGCTTGACAATTTAATCTTGTAATGGCTCAACCGAAGTGGTATATTATGTCATTCATTGTGGAACTACTTTTTTGTAGAAAAATCAGCAAATTATCGTGATTTTGATGACGTTACTACAAAATGCCTTCGAATATCTACTTTTGAAGGTTTATCGTTAACTATACCTAATTCAATGATAAGTGCAGATAGGAGCTGAATAAATATTTCCATGCAGGATTGTTTTTGTAAATTCTGTTAACTTAGCCCGCCTACTTTCTTCCATTGACGTAGAGGTAATCACTTGAAAATTTGGACGATGGTCGACTTGTGTCCGTGTTATATAGCGTCCACCTCATTTAGGGGATTTATACTATTCTGTCGTAGTTGAGGATAATGTCAAGAAATATGAAATATATTTATTTGTGTTTACCAACTTCTAGAAGTCGCAATTATGATATACAGATCGAGTACTGAAGACTGACTGAAAAATTTGTAGCAAAATGCAATCTTTACGTAAATGTTATGAACTTTTGTGGCTTGTGGTGTTCTCTAGTAGAATTTTTATTGATTATATTTTTTATTGATTTTCTTCACACCTAGTTCTAACCACACCGATGCCATCGTTTTGTAGCGTCGCATATACAGCTCGGTGAATCAGTCAAGCGCCTGTAGTAGCGTGGCTCTACAGCGATGATTTCATCGACCGACAGTATGAAGTGGGCATACGAGTCGATAAAGAAACGAAAAAACACTGAGCAAATTGTTCACTTGTTGACTACGACTTTTCTAATACACAAGTTTCGTAAAAATGTGTTAGGGGCACACATTTTGCGGAAAAGCTGTTTTCTTCGCAATAAGGAGAACTAATGGGACCACTTGAATAAATTACAATTATGAAATAATATTATTTATGTATCAATTTTAAAACACTACCCTGAACGGTGGATCACTTGGCTCACGGGTCGATGAAGAACGCAGTTAACTGCGCGTCATAGTGTGAACTGCACATTTGAACATCGACATTTCGAACGCACATTGCGGTCCGTGGAGACACATCCAGGACCACTCCTGTCTGAGGGCCGATTGTGTAAGCTAATACTGCAACATTGCTGCCTGACGTGGTCGTAAGCAGCTTATGATGGTTCTAACATGTTGACGTAGAATGCGTTGATGTTTTAGTCCATTTAAAAATCATACAAGAGTACATACTATTAGCATATGGTCGTGGTAGTGATCAAAACAAAAGCGGTGTGAGTAGAGCTACTGTCAATACGTATCGTCGTCGCACACGACGCCGAGGACACGTTATGGTGTTTGCTCTACTTTCGTATGCGGACTCTTTGTTCGGTAATAACGACACGATCCCGAGAGCAGCGTACATCGCACTTCTTCTTGGCTGATTCACTGCGTCCAGTGCGACTGTTAGTCATTGTCTAATGTATGTATCAAGTAAGGAGGCGCGTTATAGACACGTGTCTGCTTCACTAGTATATCGTTGGCCTCAGATCAGGGAGGATCACCCGCCGAACTTAAGCATATCAGTAAGCGGAGGAAAAGAAACTAACCAGGATTTCCTTAGTAGCGGCGAGCGAACAGGAAAGAAGCCCAGCACTGAATCCCGTCACACTTTCTGTGGCGGGAAATGTGGTGTTCGGGAGGTTCCGTTTTCTCGTTGCGACTGCTCGTGTCCAAGTTCGTCTTGAACGAGGCCGTTTACCCACAGAGGGTGCGAGGCCCGTAGCGACAGAGGAGCGCGACGAGAGGGATTCTCCTTAGAGTCGGGTTGCTTGAGAGTGCAACCCTAAGCGGGTGGTAAACTCCATCTAAGGCTAAATATTACCGTGAGACCGATAGCGAACAAGTACCGTGAGGGAAAGTTGAAAAGAACTTTGAAGAGAGAGTTCAAGAGTACGTGAAACCGATCAGGGGTAAACCTGCGAAACTCGAATGAACGAACGGAGAGATTCATCGCCAACCTGCGGCGTGCACACACATCCCTCTATGCTGTCGGTCAATGACGATCGTTAGTACGAGTAGTGTCGGTGACGTCCGCGGGCGGCGTGCACTTCTCTCTTAGTAAATACATCGCGACCCGTTTGGTGTCGGTCTATGCGCTGTTCGGATCCTCGCGCCATTGACCTGGTTAGGACGATGGCACCGCGACGGTGGCGGATCGGCTGCCAGACGGTAGCAAGATGACTCGTGCACGCGTTTTACACGCGTCCAGCTCGACGCAAGCTGGCATCGCACTTCACGTTGACGCCTCTGTGCGCTCGTAGGTGCGGTGCTTCTGCAGTCGCTGTCGTATTGTCTTGGACTGTGCGCGTTTCTGTCTGCGATGATTCTGTTTCGGGCACTCGCAGGACCCGTCTTGAAACACGGACCAAGGAGTCTAGCATGTATGCGAGTCATTGAGATGATAAACTGAAAGGCGCAATGAAAGTGAAGGCGCGCGCTGGCCGCGTGCTCAGGGAGGATGGAGCGTCGATCTAGGTCGATCTCTCGCACTCTCGAGGCGTCTCGTTTCCAATTCGTGAATGTGGATGCGCTCTGAGCATAAATGCTGGGACCCGAAAGATGGTGAACTATGCCTGGTCAGGTCGAAGTCAGGGGAAACCTTGATGGAGGACCGTAGCGATTCTGACGTGCAAATCGATCGTCGGAACTGGGTATAGGGGCGAAAGACTAATCGAACCATCTAGTAGCTGGTTCCGTCCGAAGTTTCCCTCAGGATAGCTGGCGCCGATGAAATCAGTCTCATCTGGTAAAGCGAATGATTAGAGGCATTGGGGTCGAAACGATCACAACCTATTCTCAAACTTTAAATGGGTGAGAGCTCCGGCTTACTCGAACGATGAAGCCGGAGATAAGATGTCGGTGCCAAGTGGGCCAATTTTGGTAAGCAGAACTGGCGCTGTGGGATGAACCAAACGTAGTGTTAAGGCGCCCAAAAAATGTTCAAAGATACCAAAAAGACGTAAGACATATGAGACATCAGGACGGTGGCCATGGAAGTCGGCATCCGCTAAGGAGTGTGCAACGACTCACCTGAATAGGATGTCTTGCTCTGAAAATGGATGGCGCTCAAACGTTTTGCCTATACACTACCGTTACGCACACGTGCGACGTCTTTGTGATGTCATTAAGTCGTAACGAGTAGGACGTGCGCGGCGGAGAGCGCAGAAGGGTCTGGGCGTGAGCCTGCCTGGAGCCTCCGTCGGTGCAGATCTTGGTGGTAGTAGCAAATACTCCAGTGAGGCCCTGGAGGACTGACGTGGAGAAGGGTTTCGCGTGAACAGTAGTTGCTCGCGAGTCAGTCGATCCTAAGCTCTAGGAGAAATCTTATGTTGATGTGGCGTGTTTTTCGAAAAGTGTACCTTGATGGTACACTCGATGATAAGCAACGCCCTCTGAGCGAAAGGGAATCCGGTTGTTATTCCGGAACCCGGCAGCGGAACCGTTTCAATAATCGTGCTCTCGTTTCGCGACGAGTGTTCGACGGGGTAACCCAAAATAGCCTGAAGACGCCGCCGGAAGGTCTGGGAAGAGTTTTCTTTTCTGCCTGAGCGTTCGAGTTCCATGGAATCCTATAGAAGGGAGATATGGTTCGGAATGCGAAGAGCACTGCGCCTGTAGCGGTGTCCGGATCCTTTCTGCGGACCTTGAAAATTCAGGTGAGGGATGTACGAGGAGATGTCGCGCCGGTTCGTACCCATATCCGCAGCAGGTCTCCAAGGTGAAGAGCCTCTAGTCGATAGAATAATGTAGATAAGGGAAGTCGGCAAATTAGATCCGTAACTTCGGGATAAGGATTGGCTCTGAGGACCGGGGTGGTCGGGCTGTGACATAAAGCAGGAGTTCTAGAGCTAGCTCGATTTTGACGCACGTCCTATTCGGGTACGAGTGTCTAGTATCGAGACATGTATCTGGGTCTCTTGTCGATTATCCTTGCTTTGAAAACCGACTCGGTTGCGCCACAAGCGCGACCGATGAGGTTCTCTTCGATCACCGTTTACCGGTCATCTCAGAACTGGCACGGACAAGGGGAATCCGACTGTCTAATTAAAACAAAGTATTGCGATGGTCCTCGCGGATGTTGACGCAATGTGATTTCTGCCCAGTGCTTTGAATGTCAACGTGAAGAAATTCAAGCAAGCGCGGGTAAACGGCAAGAGTAACTATGACTCTTCAAAGGTAGCCAAATGCCTCGTCATCTAATTAGTGACGCGCATGAATGGATTAACGAGATTCCCACTGTCCCTATCTACTATCTAGCGAAACCACAGCCAAGGGAACGGGCTTGGGAGAATCAGCGGGGAAAGAAGACCCTGTTGAGCTTGACTCTAGTCTGGTACTGTACAGAGACACGAGAGGTGTAGCAAAGTGGGAGGTCGTTGAGGCGACCATCGCTGGAAAACCACTACTCTTATTGTTTCTGTTCTAACTCGGTTAAGCGGAAGCAGTACGTTGTCGGTTATAACGGCAAACGTACTGGCTTTTGTGATCCAAGCGCGAAAACGTTGAACCAGGTGACGTCACTGTCACTAGTGTTTAACCTCCGCGTGATCCGGTTCGAGGACACTGCCAGGCGGGGAGTTTGACTGGGGCGGTACACCTGTCAAATAATAACGCAGGTGTCCTAAGGCCAGCTCAGCGAGGACAGAAACCTCGCGTAGAGTAGAAGGGCAAAAGCTGGCTTGATCCTGATGTTCAGTACGCATGGGGACTGCGAAAGCACGGCCTATCGATTTTCTTGTGTAAAGAGTTTTTAGCAAGAAGTGTCAGAAAAGTTACCACAGGGATAACTGGTTTGTGGCAGCCTAGCAACCGCAGCGACGTTGCATTTTGATCCCTCGATGTCGGCTCTTCCTATCATTGTGAAGCATAAATTACAAAGCGTTGGATTGTTCACCCACTAACAGGGAACGTGAGCTGGGTTTAGACCGTCGTGAGACAGGTCAGTTTTACCCTACTGATGGCAAGTCGTTGCGATAGTAATACCGTTTAGTCCCACAATAACAACGGTGTCGGATATTTGGTTCATGCACTCGGTCGAACGGCCGGTGGTGCGAAGCTATCATCCGCTGGGAGTAACTCTGATCGCCATTAAGGGTGAAACCCGTCTAGTCAAATCCGGCAAGGATATCACGGAGCCCCGTGAGTCGGGAGGCTCCAAACAATGTGACTATTTTAGTCGCGCTTCTACACTTGAGGTGCGGCGTCGAAGCCCATTTGGGTCGCGGAGATCGATGTTGTTCGGATAACTCGTGCATCATGGCTCCGAAGGCCCGAATGTAACTCAGTTCGATGTCGGGGCTCGGAATAGTCTGTAGACGACTTCCGTTCCTGGCGGGGTGTTGTACTCGGCAGAGTAGCACTGCTACAATCCGTTGAGACTCGGCCCTTAGCTAGGTGATTCGTTTTGTAACCATTTAATACACGAACAGAATTATTTATTTTGATCTTATTGGTTTTTAATTTGATTTTGCTATTATGTGAGACATTGGGTTCCTCAAATTTGTCAGTTGCTTACTGATAGTACTACTACAATCTGACAAGACTCGGCCTTTAGCTAGGTGATGTAAATATTTAATACACGAACAGCTTACTCTGGGATCCAATTGTAAACATTTAATACACGAACAGATTCATACTTCATAAAACTCTTGCGTTTAAATTAGTCGGGCATATAACTGTATATCTTGACTTTTTTAGTATGATATTTATGTAGATATTTTAACTAGATATTTAGGTATACCTAAATCTTGCGACAAGCTTTTATATAATCATTTTGAATTGGGTAATTTTAATTGTCACCGTTAGGGATGTTTTATAGTCATGCAAACTAAACGTGTATTCAAAATTACAGCTCTATCGGTTGGTATTCTTTAAAATTTTGTTGCAATATTCCACTAAACAAACATACATTCATGCATACGTACGCCGTGAAATCTATTTCGTTTTCGTCCCGAAGTAAACAAAAGAGTAAAAAAAAGAAAAAATAACTGGTAAATGTTCACGAGTTTTTTTTTGTTTTTTTTTTCGGAAGGGCAAAAAGCAAACTTCGAAAGCGCATACGAACTCATAATACATAATTCAAATCTATAATATAATTCTCGAAGAGGTATTTCTCGTCGGGTGACACGTGGGATGCGAATAGTGCCCACAAAACGTCTAGTGTTTCATGTGCGTTTTTCCACGAATTTTTTTTTTAAAACTAAATACATAGATTGATCTCTTAATTATTTTTGTTTTCACTTTATATATCGAAAGTAATCCCTATGGTAAGTTGGTTTGCCGTGGGAGGAAAACAAAATAAATTCCATGGTGTATATTGCAACTATAGTGTTCTGGAGTGGAGACCGCGTCTAGGCAAACGTAGTGTAGGGCGCCCTCCAGCTAGGTGGAGTGACGATATACGTAAAGTGGCTGGTAGTGGTTGGATGCGTAGAGCTGAAGACCGAGCTCAGTGGCGTGCCATCGGAGAGGCGTATGTCCAGCAGTGGATGAATACAGGCTGTTGATGATGATGATGATGATGATGATGATATTGCAACTTAAACAAGAAAAGAGAATTGTTTGTGTTATTGTAGCGACAATTGGTTCTTAAGTGTTTTTTTGCTATGTGAGTTTGTATTTCATTAGAGTATCTAGGGAAACACGTGTATTCAGTTTTGTAAATGATTTATAGTTACGGTAGTATCATCAACATCAACAAATGCCCACTGCTGAGCAAAGGCCTCTTTTCACACGGAGAAGGTTGAGCATTAATCACCACGCTTGCTCAATGCGGGTTGGCGATCTCAAACCAATAATTAGAATTTTGCTCACGATGTGTCAGTGATGTGCTGTCTAAATTTTTTTATGGCATAAGCCGGTAACCGAGGTGAAACGCCAGAGGCGTTACAAGTGCGTTACCGGCCTTTTGGGGAATAGGAGTTTGAGGATCGTTGGGGATTCAGGAATTGGGGAGATTGGGGAATGGGAGGGTAATTGGGCCTTCGGTAACCTTACTCACACGACGAAACACAACGCAAGCGTTTCTTCACGTCGGTTTTCTGTGAGGCCGTGGTATTACTCCGGTTGAACCGGGCCAATCGTGCCGAAGCATGGCTCTCCCACACTTTCTCTATCTCCCACACACAAAATAATCTTAGAAAGTATAACTCGGAAAGTGTCACATTGGTACTTGCAGTTGGTAAGTTTCGATACGGATTCGATACGATAGTAGTCCATAGCAAAATAATATTGAAATTTGAATATCCCCTACATTTACAGTAGTCTATAGGTTTTGTCGTTATACCTATCTACAATCAGGGGGCTTACTCTTTAATCCGATCAATCGACATTGGTATTGTGATATTTTGTACTCTTGAGTTGCAACACTAGCGCCCATTGCATCCGTATTGCGTGAATATTTAATGAACTAAATGGTATTAAGTTTTGCTTTATATTCCGTACTCTGAATGGTATTTTAACAGCTACGATAGCAGTTGTATATTGAATTTGACATTGAATAATTATTGAGATTTTATTGGATTGAAATTGCCACGATTTTAGGTACTTTCTTTTTTGAAATCGATGCGAACGAATTTTTTCGATGCACAGTAAATAATTATTTTTATTTGCCTTTTATTTTAATTTCGTTATTTGTTTTAGTTTATTTTAAGTTCATTGTATACATATACATATTTATTGCTTTTATAAGTTGATAATTTAATTGAAGTGAATTTCATTCAATTTATTTTGCGAATGATTTAAAGTTGGTTTTATATTTTTTTCTTTAGATTGTCATTTTGTGTCAAATAGTAGATCACCTTTGCGTTGGACTGATTAAGTCAAATCAGTATCAGGAAACCCAGTATCAGACTGCGCCAGACAATCCAAAAACAGGGAGAGATGGCGGGAGATCGTGAGGAAAGCAGTATCGGCCTCCAACACAAATACGGCCGCCTCACCGTGGCCACGACCGCTCTGCCAAAAGCAAAACAACAGTGAAGAAGAGTAGACTTTTTACACACATATGTATACGTGTAAATAAGTATGAAATATTTGTATATCACGCAGTTAACTTATGAATTTTTAAATTGTAGTATTAATAAGTACAAAACATTTAGGGATTTGCTTTATCTTATCAAAATAATGAGGAAAACGTTTACGATCGAACAATAGGATCATTTGTTAAGGGAACCCTTTGATAATATTTGCTTTGAAGCCTTCGGTCACTTTGGATTCAATAGCTTATACACTTTACATTTTTATATTAATGTATATTTTAATTACATAATACTCTGGCTATGTTTACTTCTATAAATAGTATTTTTTTTATTTGATGGGCCGACGTTTGACCACTATCTCGCCTGGTGGTAAGCGATGATACATTAATAGGTATCAAAGCAATCGCATAATTATCGACAACAATCGCAATCTATCAATTAGCATGTTATAGATAAGATTGAAACTAGAGATAAGTCCGCCACATACATATAACTCACGCTGCAATTCTTGCAAGTCATGCAGTATGTACATACTTAGCTATCAAAATTTTGCTTGAGATAACGAAAATTACTAATAACTGTCTTCGATCCCGAAACCAAATTGTCGATCAGAGGTGTCTCTAAACCTTTTTTTCGCCTTTAGAGAACTTTCACACATTAACAGCCTATAAATGCCTACTGCTAAGCAAAGTTTGAGCATTCATCACCACGCTTGCTCAATGCGGGTGGGCGATTTCAGATTTCTAATTAGAAATTACAAGCCAAGGTTTCCTCATGGTGTTTCACCGTTTGTTAGTAGTGTGTAAATAATCTAAGAAAGTACATATAACTCGAAAAATGCCGCATTGGTACTTGCTGTTGGTAGGTTTAGAACAAACACTATCATGCATGAGAAGCGGGCGTCTTAAACCTCCGGGCCGCCACGACATTTCATTATTTTTTTCTCCTTTGGAGAACTTAAGTTAACATCAATAAAACATCACACATTTTGTTAAGTTTTTGGAGTCCCCAAAAACATCACATAAATAATTTTTGAAACGACATTAGGAGTCTGTTGCCAGATTTTGCAGAATTCGTACAGCCCACACGTGGCGCGAGCGAAACGAAAAAATGAAATAAAAGTAATTTTATTCAAATTTAGATCGGATGCCGGTCCAATTTTTTGAGTGCCGCCGGGGGGCGCAATGTGCGACTGTCAACGTGTTACATTTAGATGTAGGTGTAATGATAATATGATCAAGAAGTTCCATTTTTTTATTGAACACGGAAACCCACCGTTTACGTTTTTTTTTGTTTTTGCACGTGTATGTGGTACGGTGCTTATAAGCTGTTGCAAACAAATTGTAAACATATGTAATGTCTTAAACAATTTACTAATACATTGTACCTAATAAATAGACATTTGAATATTTCTATAAATTATATCTTCTATAAAAATCGTATTAAGTACTTGTTTAAAAGCAATTTCATGTGGTCGATGTAATAGACAGTATTTGACTGATAAAAATTAAAGAGTTAACTATAATTTTAAGAGATATCAATAAAATAAATACTTGCGAGAAATATGCTTCAATCTATGTCATTGAAGCATTTTGCCATAAAAATGATTCTAATTTTTATTTTTACGATTGATTCTTATGAACCTAGGCCGTAACCATTAGTTACGTCGCGGAGAACCTAACGGGTTACCGGGGCTCCGGCTCCATATGCAGGAGAAGGAACGGGGTGGTTTTTAGTCAGTTAGAGTCTGACATTCCCTCCCGCTTCACCCAGGCGGGAGCAGTCATTCGATGATTTTCCCCCCCTTAAAAAAACCATTAGTTACGGCCGGTACAAATAGAACTGGGGCAAATGAGGTGAACAAAAACTCAATGATATT